GAGCGGCTCCCCGGGGGCGGCTCCCCTCCCTCTCCTCCCTCCCCTCCTCTCCCGTCGGCTCCTCCTCCTCCTCCCCTTCTTCCCCCAAAGGCCCGGCCGGCGCGTAGCCCGAGCAGCGCCAACTTCGCCAACGGTTCCCAAGTTGCCGGGCGCGCAGGGGTGGGAGCTGGGTGGGGTGAGGAAGAGGAGGAGGAGGAGAGCTCCCGGGCGCCTTGGACGCGGTTCAGGAATCCGCTGCCGCTCGCCGGCTCGGGCCGGAGCGGGGAGGGCGCCAGGCAGGACCGCTAGCCCGCTTGCTGCGCAGGACGGCGCCCGCCTGGCGCCGCTTCCCTTCCCGCGTGCCGACCAGCCCGGCCGCGCCTGCATCCCTCCTGCCCGCCCCGGGGAGGGCGCACAGCCCGGGCAGCGCGGGCGCTGGGGCCGCGGAGCCGCTTCTGCCGGGATCTTCCAAGAGGAAGGCGAAGTTGCGAGCGGATGCTGCCCGCGCCGGACCCCAGCCGCGGAGGGTCGGGGCCGCCAGCGCCGGAGGAGCCTCAGCGGCCGGGGTAAGTGGGGCGCCGGCGTCCGGGAACTGCAGCCTCGGCCGGGGGAGGCCGCACAGCGGGAGCCCCCAGCCTTCCGGGTCCGCACTGGCGCGCCAAACTTTGGAGGGAGAAGGGGAAGAAGCAGAGGGTGGGAGGGTGAGTTCCCAGCTCGGGGAAAAGCCCAGGCAGGCGCCCACAAACCGCTGCACCCGAATCACACCTGCCAGGTACACACAGCTCATCGCCACTCATGCCCCGCACACGCGCAGGCCGGTTTGCGCACACCCACACCGGCCAGGCACGTGCCACACACCGAAATGCACATTCCTTGGAGCACTGGGGGATTTGGCCTCCACACCAGGCACGTCCTCACACCTCTCCAGCACATCCACGGCCTTTGTCTGCTGCCCCGTAAGCCCCCAGGGAGAGGGAGCCCCCAAAGCGCAGCGGGCGGGAGAGAGGCTTCCTGGGCTTTGAAAACTCATGGCCAGAACCTCGAGACCAACGGTGGGGGGAGCAGGCGTTGCAGTCGGTTCTCGGGGTTCAGCAGGAGCGGATTTGGTGTGGAAACTCGGTGTCTGGGTGATGTGTCTGGGTGTGCGAAGCCCTTCCGGAGGCGAGGCCCGGAGAGAGGAGGGAGTGATTCATAAACTCAGAGCCGGCGTGCCAGGGTCTGTGAGCAGAGGGGAAGAGGCTGGCAGGCCTTTGCTGCGCTAGACAGCAGGATGGTGGCGGTGACAGTCTTCCAGGGAAGAAGGGTCCGTACCCTTCCCCCCAGCGGATGTGTTACCTCCGGGACATCCAGGGGAACTGAATGAGGAGATTCCAGCCCTGGGTGTGGACGGGGGAAGGGGAGGTGGGCGGATTTAAGCCTAAAAGGTTAGGGAGAAGCCAGGGCAGGCCTGAAGCCTTAATTATTTTCCTTGCACCTGAACTTGTGTTTGGTTTCTGATGCGTGGTGTTCCTGGGCCCCAAGATGTACCAGGGATTTTGCTGGGCCTAGCATAGTGCCTGGCACAGCGGTCACTCAGTCAGTATTTGCTTGATGAAAATGACACCGGTAATTGACATTCTTTATGGACTTACTGTGAGGCAAGCCCAGTGGGCCTCTGCTGGGTTGGACGTGGTCTTCCAGCAGAGGAGGGGGCCTGAGTAGCTCCTCGGAGTCCTGCCTGATCGGTTTGGGCCAGTGGCCCAGGCAGTGTGTGTTCCACTGTGTCCTGTGGGCTGCCCTTGGGGGACTTGAGCTCATCATTGGCCTCTGCCCCTCTAAGAAGGCAGCAGGAAAAGTTTCATTTCTGTATCTGGCTAAGGTGAGGTTGATGTGGGTTTTGGTAGATGGCAGGCTATTTGGCAGATTGAAGAATACCTTTAGATCCATCAATCTTCCCATCTCCTGGCTGCAGTGGAGAGAGGTGGGTAAGTGGAGAAAGAGATGGGCCAGGCTGCTGGGCATGTGCTGGGGGCAGGAGGAACATGGGAACATGTAGAATTTGGGGGCAGCTGCTTTTCTTCCTGGCTCCTGATGGCCTGGCTGGAGATGGGTCTCATGAAAGGTCTAGCAGCTGTGTCCTGCAGCAGTGGCTTGGCTCTGTGGTGGCAGCAGGTGGAGGGGTGGTCACAGTCCCTGTACCGAGTATTGCTGTGGGTTCTTCTGTGCCAGCTTGCATGGGTTTTCCAGAGGAACAGAAACATCCATGTTTCCTGGAACTGGATTGCCGGTGGTCTTGGGATTGAGAGTGCATGAAGATGTGGGGCCGGCCTGGGCATGTCATTGAAACGAAATGTGTCATTCCCCACCCCTGCCCCCTTGTGAAGAGCTCTGACTAGGTTCAGTGTGCATTTCAAGCTTCTAAATGCTGAAATTAGCAAGTCATGTGGGTAGTAGCACCAAGGACTGTGGCCTCAGATGAAAGAGGAGGGGATCTGGGCTTGGCTACCCCCAGTTTCAGGTGGAACCTTGCAGCCAGTTCCTTCCCCATATCCCCTTTCCACTTTCATTATGCCCTCTGTGAATCGAGAGCTCTGTATACGTTACTTAAATAAATCATTACACCCCTATGAGGTTAGCATTTCATCTCCATTTTGCAAACTAAGGGTCAGAAAAGTTACATAAGTTTTTCAACATCACACAGCTAGTAAGAGACAAAGCCAGTTTTGTGTATTTGTGTGTGTGTGTGTGTGTGTGTGTGTGTGTGTGTGTGTTTAGACAGAGTCTCGCTCTGTTGCCAAGCTGCAGTGGCGGGATCTCTGCTCACTGCAACCTCCACCTCCCAGGTTCAAGTGATTCTTCTGCCTCAGCTTCCTGAGTAGCTGGGACTACAAGCTAGCACCACCAAGCCCCGCTAATTTTTGTATTTTTAGTAGAGACGAGGTTTCACCATGTTGGCCAGGATAATCTTAATCTCTTCACCTCATGATCCGCCCACGTCGGCCTCCCAAAGTGCTGGGATTACAGGTGTGAGCCACCATGCCCAGCCATGTTTTTGTTTTTTTTTTTAACTTAATGTTAGGTTCGGGGTACATATGCAGGTTTGTTACATAGGGAAATTGCATGTCATGGGGGATTGGTGTACAGATTATTTTATCACCCAGATAATAAGCATAGTACCCAATAGATAGTTGTTGAGTTTGGTTTTGTTTTCTTTTGTTTGTGTTTGTTTTGAGACAGGGTCTCTTGCTCAGGCAGGAGTGCAATGGCACAATCACTGCCACTCACCAAAGCCTCAACCTCCGAGGCTCAGGTGATCCTCCTGCCCCAGCCTCCCAAGTGGCTGACATCACCATACCTGGCTAATTTTTTAAATATTTTTTGTAGAGACAGGGTTTCACCATGTTGCCCAGGCTGGTCTCAAACTCCTGAGCTCAAGCGATTTGCCTCCCTCAGCCTCCCAAAGTGCTGGGATTACAGGCCTGAGCCATTGCAGAGGCCCGTGATAGGTAGTTTTTTATCTTCATCCTCCTCCCTCCCTCCACCCTCAAGTAGGCCCTCGTGTCTGTGGTTCCCTTCTTGGTGTTTAGATGCACTCAGTGTTCAGCTCCCACTTCTAAGTGAGAACATGCAGCATTTGGTTTTCTGTTCCTGTGTTAGTGTGCTCAGGACAATAGCCTCCAGCTCCATCCGTGTTGCTGCAAAGGACATGATCTTATTCTTTTTGTGGCTGCATAGTATTTCATGTTGTGTATCTACATTTTCTTTATCTAGTCTACCGTTGATGGGCATTTAGGTTGATTTTATGTTTTTGCTATTATGACCAGTGCTATGATAAACATATGTGTGCATGTGTCTTTATGGTAGAACAATTTATATTATTTTGGATATGTACCTAATAATGGGATTGCTTCGTGGAATGGTAATCCTGCTTTGAGTTATTTGAGAAATCGCCAAACTGCTTTCCACAATGACTGAACTAATTTCCATTCCCACCAGTAGTATACAAGCTCCCTTCCCCTCCCCTCCCCTCCCCTCCCTTCCCCTCCCCTTCCTTCCCCTCCCCTCCCCTCCCCTTCTCTCCCTTCCCTTCCCCTTCCTTCCCATTCCTTCTCTTCTCTTTTTTATTTTTGAGACAGGGTCTTGCTCTGTCGCCAGGCTGGAGTGCAGTGGTGTGATCTCGGCTCACTGCAGCCTCCGCCTCCTGGGTTCAAGCGATTCCCCTGCCTCAGCCTCCTGAGTAGCTGGGACTATAGGCACTCACCACCATGCCTGGCTAATTTTTTATATATATATATTTTAGTAGAGACAGGGTTTCACCAGGTTGGCCAGGATGGTCTCGATCTCCTGATCCGCCCACCTCAGCCTCCCAAAGTGCTAAGATTACAGATGTGAGCCACCATGCTGGCCAGCACTCCCTTTTCTCCACAACCTGACCAGGATCTGTTATTTTTTGACTTTTTCATAATAGCTTTTCTGACTGGTATGAGATGGTATCTCGTTGTGCTTTTGATTTGCGTATTTCCAATGATTAGTGATGTTGACCATTTTTTCATATGCTTATTGGCCACATGCATGTCTTCATTTGAAAAGCATCTGTTTGTGTCCTTTGCCCACTTTTTTTTTTTTGAGATGGAGTTTCACTCTTGTTGCCCAGGCTGGAGTGCAATGGCACAATCTCGGCTCACCGCAACCTCTGCCTCCCAGATTCAAGCGATTCTCCTGCCTCAGCCACCCAGTAGCTGGGATTACAGGCGCCTGCCACCATGCCCGGCTAATTTTGTATTTTCAGTACAGACAGGGTTTCTCTGTGTTGGTCAGGGTGTCGAACTCCTGACCTCAGGTGATCCGCCAGTCTCAGCCTCCCAAAGTGCTGGGATTACAGGTGTGAGCCACCACGCCTGGACCTTTGCCCACTTTTTAATGGGATTGTTTTTTGCTTGTTAACTTGTTCAAGTTCCTTATAGATTCTGGATATTAGAGTTTTGTTGAATGCATAGTTTGCAAATATTTTCTCCTCTTCTGTAGGTTGTCTGTTTACCGTTGATTGTTTCTTTTGCTATGTAGAAGCTCTTTAATTAGGTCCCATTTGTCAATTTTTGTTTTTGTTGCAATTGCAAAACCAGTATTTGAACCTGGATCGTCTGACTCCAGAACCCACCCTGTCTCCACCATGCCAGGCTGTCTGCAAGGTCCTTATTGGTTCTCCATGGCAACAGGGAAACAGCACTGAAGCTTCTTACTAACGTGGTCCCAGGGCCTCTGCTTGCATTCCTCTTTTTCCACACGCTCTGCCGAGCCTGGATTATACCTTAGGCCGTGGGAATCAAAGGCTGGGTGGTACCAGGCTGCTGGAGCCTTCTGTGTGGCTCTGGAGTCAGGAAACTATGGAGATTTGGAGGGAGACACAGGAAGAGATGACTCGCTGCTTATCTGAGAAGTTCGGACAAAGCTGCCACTTGTGACCATACCTTGAATAGGGAAGAAATGGCCAGGTAGACCAAACATCCTCAGATGGGTTACTGTATTTCCCCCCCATTTCCCGCTGTTCCTCTCCAGGGTTATCTATTACCTGGGGAGATCAGCCCTTACCTGACACCTCCTATTGTCATATACCTGGTGAACATAAGGGCCCATGTCACAGCTGCCCTTCCCACCCTGCCACATGCTCTGGAGAACTGGACTCAGCAGCTCCTAGTCCACAGGAGAGAAGGCTGGGGCAGAGCCGGGGCAGCCAGGGGAGGTCATAACCACATGCCCACCTGGTCCCCAGCTCTTGCTTTTACACCCATGCCCCGCCAGGAGACAGCAGTTCTCCACTGGCCCTATTTACAGATGAGGACATGAGGCTCAGAGAGGTGCCGTGGATGGCCAAGGTCACGAAGCCAGGGAGCTGCAAAGGCCCGGGACAGCTGTGTTTTCAGTTGGGGTGGTATTCTCTACCTCTGCCCCCCAAGAGCTGAGACCAGTTACCCCTGCTGGGGCAGGGTCCTCACTGCTCCACCCACACTCATCTCTGCCCTGAGAGCCCCAATACAGGTGTCCATAGAATGGGAAAGGCTGGCACCCTTCAAAACACGCAAGGAGTATTGGCTGAGCACTGCCCAGCTGGTCCCTGCCCACCTTCCGTGGGAAGCCCACCTGGGCGAGTTCTGAGAGCCTTCCCAGTGCTGAGCTGCAAAGAAACTTGAACCCTCTGCCCGTCCACTGCCGAGGGGACACGCTGACCAGGATGGAAGCTGGGGGACTGGGTGTGGGGAGAAGCCACCCCACTGCAGGGGCTGGGGCTGTCCATCCTTGTACTCCTGGTTCCATCCCAGTGCCTGAGACATGGGAGGTTCAGGGGAATGTGGTCAGATGCTGGGTGAAGCTCTGGGAGGGGCTCTGAATGCTTCTGCTGGGAAGTCCTAGGGCAGCGGCTCAGGTAGGGTCTTTGCTGCGAGGGAACACTCACAGAGTCTCTGGCTTTTGTGAAGTCATGCCTCCAGAGAAGAGACACTTCTCCTTTTCATTCCTTAAACGGAAACAATATTTGTCACCTTTTCTTCTCTGAGGCCTAAAGTGATGGCAGAACGCTGCTAGTCCCACTCCAAGCGTGTGGACTCCACAGCGGGGTTTGGGGTGACCCTGGCAGGCCTGGACGGTCTGTTCTGTGCTTGCTGGTGGACACGCTTCAGCCCTCTGTCTCCATTGCCCCAAATCTGGCTGTGGCTCCTGGGCCCCCACCAGCGTGGAGGGCCGGGGTGGCCCCAGGAGCCCCTGACCACCAGCGTGGAGGGCCGGGGTGGCCCCAGGAGCCCCTGACCACTGGTGGCTTTCTTGTCTCCAGCCACGCTCCTTCCTTCCCCCAACACCCCACCGCCGCCGCCTCCTCACAAAGATGGCTGTGTGCGAAGGGACTGTGGCTTCCCTGGGCCCTGGGAAATTTATCACTGAGGTTCCAGAGGACTCTATGAAAAGGATTTGGAGGAAAAGTGTGGAAAATAAACAAGCCAGTTCCCAGCTCCGCCTCTCCTGAATGCCGCAAGTAAACAACCACCTCAGCGGCCAACCCGGGATGTTCTTATTTGGCCTCTGTGGTTACACCTGCCCCCTCCCCGCCCAGCCCCTCCTCCTTGACTTCGAGAGCCTCAAAAGGCAGGAACACACCCTCCACTGGCCAGTGCTTGTGCTGCAGGGACGCTGGTGGCCGGGCACAGGGAGAACATGTATGCGGGACAGAAGACAGCCGGGGGTCCCAGCTCAGCCCCGCTCCCTCTGAGTCAGTCCCAAGCCCAGGCCCTGCCCAGCAAGCAGACGGTGACCTCTTGGTTGGTTGGTGAGTTTAACTTTGATGGTGCAGAATGATGGGGCTTTTCTCCAGTTTTGTGGCGTCCGAGAAGCTTTGCTTCTTCAACATGGATTTAGGGTAGATAGACCAAAGCTGATTTTCCCGTATGTCTCTCCAAGGTGGGACCTACCTGTGAGCAAACCTTCATACATTTGTTTACTGTGTAGGCTACTGGACAAAAATGTCAGGTTTCTTTGCTTTGGACTGCAGTCCTATCAACTCAGGGGTGGTGGGGTAAGGTCACGCCAATGATTTCCAGAAACTCAAGCGCTATTCTGAGTGACTAAGCCTGTGGGATAGGACGCACATTTTCCATCTCTTAAAAACTTCAATTTATTTAGTGACCACCTTTAAAATCAAGCACCCGGTGAGAAGGGGGAGAACCAGGGCTTGGCAGTGGAGGGCCCCCACCTTGCAGCCAGGGAGTGGCTGAGGGCCCCTCTGGTTCTCTGGCTGCATTGAGCTCAGTCCACAGGCCCTGAAGCCTCTGGGATCTAGGGAGTGAGGCACTGTTGGAAGGTTCTGGGTCCTGCTACTTTGTCCTGCTGCTGCCAGGCTTCTGGAGAGGGTGGTTGTGGGGTGAGCCCTGCATCCCGCAGCCTTGGTGGGGAAGGCCTAGTGGGCTGCACTCCCATCTGCCTGTCCTATTCTGTGTTTCGGGCTTCTGAGGAAAGTTCTGGTTCGTAAAACGGCTCCACAGCTTAGCCATCTGCAGAGTATGTCTGCAGGTTGATCGGCTTTCTGTCGTGTGTGTGCTGTGCTTGTTCACACATGCCATGCCGATGCCCGCCTGTGCCAGCCCCAGCCCCCGCAGCTACCTGAGATTTAGCCCTGGGCGTCTCCTCCCCGCCCCCACTTCCCCGCTTCCCCCTCCTCTCCTCCCTTCCTCTCCAGCTTCCTCGCCATCTGCAGGATTCTGGAAAGTGCTAACGTGTCTGAGCCAAACAGTGCTATCTGAGGAAATATTTTGAAAACACACGGGGCCACCCCCTTCCCCACACTGACTACGCTGATTTTCAGCAAGGAATTTCCCAACTCCAGCCACAGGGAAGGGCTCCAGGTGCCTGGCTTTCCTCTGGAGACTTCCAGGGGCTTGTCAGGGACACGGAGAGAAGCTGAGGGCCCGTCCTGCAGGGTTGAGGACAGACATGTCTGAAGAGGCCCCGAGAATAGAAACCTAGACCCTGCGAGTCACAACTCAGGGTCACCCACCAGAGGGTGAAGAGGTGGCTGTGACCTCAGTGGTCAGGCACCTGCCTTCTTTTTACCCTGAGACATGCGTTTCTCTTTCACTTTTTTTCCTTCTTTTGCATCTGGTGTGGGTGCGGGGGTGGCGTGCACAGGAAACAGTAATGGTATGAGCTGCTGGTGTGCCTGGCACTGCCCTGAGCACCTACAGGGCACCCCGTCACCGAGCTCTCCCAGGAAGTTCTGGAGGTGGCTCCAGTTATTCCCACCATTTTACAGATGGGAAAACAGAGGCAGACAGGCTGGATAAGTTGTTGACATGCCGCAGCTGGTGAGGGGCAAAGCCGGGCCCGAGCCCCTAGGCAGACTCCAGAGTCTGGACTCTCAGCCCTGCCTTGGTATCACCTGTGTGTGAGTCTGTCCCACCATGGCTGCACTAAGAGGGTAGATGGCACACACTGACCTTCATTTTCAAACCGTGGCCAGCGCATGCCACCGGGTTCTAGCTAGGAAGCTCTGGCAAGGTTGGCGTCACCTTGGCCTTCTCCAGGTCTGACTCCGGCACCTGCTGGCTGCCCTGGGCAGGGCATTTTGGATCCTGCATCAGGGTCTTTTGCAAGGTCCACTCTGCTGATGCTGCTCCCCTGTGCCCTGACCTGGTCTCAGGAAGGGTATAGATGGCAGCGGGTGTGGTCTCAGTTGGCAAGGGGAAGCTGGCAGTTTGGGAGCTTCTGCCTCCCTAGGACCATTCCAACAAGACAGAAAACCCCACCCCGAGTGATAACTGGTCCTGTGATCTTTCAACAAATAATTATTCCCCAGCCTCACCTGGACTCCGTATCCCACATTTCAAATTGTCCTCATTTCCCGGACACACACACCCCACTCTCTGTAGCCTTCCCAGCTGCCAAGGACATTCCCTCCTTCCCCCTTTTCCCCTTGGCTTGGATGTCACCTTCTCCTGGAAGGGGAGGGTGGTGGCCCTCCCCATGGCTGCCTGAGGGTCCCCCTCGCCACATTTGGCCCGCTGTATTACGATTGCTGGTTCAGTGTTCTGTGGTCTACACCAGGCAATGCTTTCTGCAAGGGGAGGACGGCTGTCTGCCTTTTTCATCTTTGTAGCCCCCAGCTTGGCAGTGAGTGTCACTACCTGATTATGGAAGGAGTGAGTGACAGATATGGCACAGGACCCGCAGGGGGCAGCTGCCTGGGAGGATGGGGCAGGCCCAGTCTAGGATGCTTCTGTGAGGGAGTGGTTCGTGTCTGGGGAGGCTGGTGGAACTCATGGTGAGCTGGTGGGGATCCCAGCACATGGCCTCTTGAGGTCGTTACCCCGTGGATTTTGGGCTGGGATCCTGAGGATGGGCCTGAAACCCTTCCAGAAGCCCCTCCAGTCCCGTCACTTGTCTGCCTGCTCTGGATCCACCTTTTTGGGCTGGTGGCTGGCTGCACTCTGGGCCCCTGCTCAACTCCACCAGCAAGTGGACGTCTGTTCAGCCTCTCCAGGGTCCAGTTCCCATCCCCAGGTAACGAGGCCTCCCATGACGGAGTCGATTCTCTGAGCAGAAAGAGGGAAGCCTGGTTGGCTGGCTGCCTCCCCAGGGGTGGGTGGAAGTGTTCTGGGGCCCCAGCTCCAGCCCTCAGGCTGTCTATCCTTGCAAAAGTAGTGGGGCCCAGAATGCTGAGTTCTTGGGTATCACCTGTCCAGAAACTGCGTGCCTGTGCTCATGCTGGCACTGCAAGATGGTGGGATAACAGGAGGGACTTTCAGGCTGGAAGAGAGGAGACCTGGGTGTCCCAGTGACCACCTTTGAGTCCCACTGTGATGAGCCCACAAAGGTGGACATGAGGGAAGACTTGGAGAAGGCTTCCTGGAGGAGGCAGGCATTCCAATGCATGAGGGAAGCTGGGCAAAGGCATGGGGATGGGAAAGTTGAGATTGAAGGCAGGGCCTGGTGCGGAGTCTGGCAGGGCTGAACTGAAATGTATAGGATGCACAAGGAGAGAGGGACGGGCAGGATGGAGTTCTGGTTGTGCACACACACTCTAGAGCTGGGCTGCTTTCATGGGAACCCCAGCTCCCCACTTACTGGCTGTGTGGCTGTGGCCAAGTTGCTTACCTTCTCTGTGTTCAGTTTTTTCACTACTGGTACCTACCACATGGGGATGATATGGGAATAAAATGTGTTTCTATACAATTGTTGGGAGCAGTATCTGGCACACTGTGAGCATCAAGAAGGGTGAGCTATTGTTACATAGGTATATGTTTTGATGCAGCTAGAAAAGGAAGTTGAGATCAGATCATAGAGGCCCTTGAATGTCATTCTTTCCATTCACTAAGCACCTGCCATGTGTCAGGCTCTTCACAGTCATTCTCACCAAGCCCCCTATAGCCCGGCAAGGTTGTTAGCAATTTCACAGTTGTCTCCATTTCACAGATGAGGAAACTGAGGCTCGGAGAGATAGAGTAATCTGCCCAAGGTCACTCAGTCAGGGAGAGTCAGAGACAGTAACAACACCCAGGTCTGCTGTCGCTTGAGTCTTCCCTCAAAGTGGATATTGGAGAGACATGGAAGGGGCATCACGGGGATGAGCCCTGGGTGGGGGCCACAGCCAGAAGCACAGCAGGAATGTGGCAACTGTGGGTCCCTGGGGCAGGGTGGAGACGGGGAGAGATGCCAGGCGGGCCTGGAGGCCACAGCATACAGCTCACCATTCATAGCCCAGGGCAAACCATTGAGTCATTTGGGGAAAACATGACATCACTGAGTCTCACTGTCTGCCGCCCACCTGCTGTCTGCCCTCTGTGGTTCTTCTGACTACCTCAGTGCCCCAAGTCCCCAAGGGGACCCGCAGGTCCCAGGTAGCAGGGCCAGGTCAGCACCCCAGCTTCCTGTACTGACTTCCTCTCCCCAGCCATGGTCTTCTACCTTCCCACCTCTCCCCTCCCTGCCTAGGGCCCCTGCCCCAGCCCCACTCATACACACTGCTGAGGCAGAAGCTTCTGGAAGTGCTGATGGGCATGAAGAGCTTCCAGAAGGGCTTCCATGCCAAGCCTTTGATTGGAATTCTGGGCAGAGGGGGAACAGCTCAGAAGCCTGTGTCGAGCTTTTAGAGTTGCTTTTCCTTGAGAATGGTGCCTGCCGTTTGGGTGGGATCGCCTTTTCAAAAGTGGAGCCTGGTAGAGCTATCTGCCCAGCACTATGCCATGACCCAAAGGGGATTCAGAGACTGACAGGCAGGCCCCGCCTTCCTGGAGAATACAGTTGTGTGTCTGAGAGCTCTTTCTGTACCAAACATCCTTGAGCTGAGTGCTTTATTTTCATCCATCTGATTGCACGAGGTAATCTCATTTTACAGATGCCATCCCGGAGGCCCAGAGAGGTTAGGCAACTTGTCCAAGGTCACACAGCCAGGATTCAAACCCATGACTGTCCAACTCCAGATGTACTCTTAGCCACTCTGCCATCTGGCCACAAATGAAGCCACCAGAGAACCACAGAAGGTGGGATGTACTCAACATTTGGTCGATAAATTATACAGTGCAGACAGGAAGTACATGGGGTTTTCATCCCAGAGCAGCCTGAAGTATGTAGATCTGTTCAGGAGAAAATCCAGCTTCTCTCGCTGTGCAAATCCCACCCATGCAGCTGTTTGGGGTGAGAGGTTTCTTTAAATGTCTGTTGACTCTCCTCTCTGGAAGGAACACAGGAACTCAGGGGGTGCCTGTCCTGGTGCTGGTGGCCACACCTGGAAAAGGCGTATGAGTCAAGCTAGGGGCCCAGTGCCAGCTTCCTTGG